TAGAGGCAGGAGGGAGTTACTGAATGTTCTTAAGAAAGCAACGAGGCCAAATGAAAATGGATTTGGAAAAAGATTTTCCTGACATGCCAGGGAGCAGGCATGTTTGTCTGAGACAGTCAGGAAGGCAGGAGAGAGGGGAGGGCATTCAAGGCAGTGGGAACAGAGCCTATGAAGGCCCAGGGGTGTGGAAAGACATGGTGTCATGAACAATGATAGGAAACCTCCACTTGTTGTTTAATTAGTATTGCCAAATTTAGCAATGAAATGTTTCTTCCCACATGTTCCTCTGGAGAATCCGCTACATTTGCCTTCCCACTTCAAGGCCAAAATTAAGAATATGGAAACATTCAACGCCTTTAATCTGCCCAAGCCAGTTCACATGCATTCAGCCTCTTGCCTTTGGTGAGCAGTTTGAGGGGAGAGCTGGGACGGTAGTGGGGCAGTTCAGTAACTGAGCGCTGGTCTCAGACCTGGCCCAGCCACCTTGTCACTGTGCGCCTTTGGGCAGGCCCCTCTGAGACTCAACTCTGGCATCTGTAAAATGGGGCAGTCCCTTCTCATAACCCTCCTGAGAAGATGAAAGGAGGTGAGGCAAGAAAGACATTGAGCACGCTATCTGGTAGTAAAGAACAGGCCAGAAAGGGGCAGGTGGGTGTTCATTTTCCTACGTCCTTCACCACTCAGAACAGGGCTCCACTCACCATGCGGTCTCCATCAGTACATCTGTGTGCTTCGCAGATGCTGGTGCAAGTCCTCAGGCTCCCAGGCTGGCCCTACTTGCACCTTGCAGGTCTCGGAGAGGAGATCCTGACAAGGCTAATTATTAAATAATAAGGAAATTAGTGCTCGGCCAAATTAGACATGGCATTGATTTTTTAAGCTCTTATTTAAATATTTAATTTGTTCAGCGTCAACCATACAGCAAGCAAGCAAGTCATATTTAATCAGTATCCATTAAAGTTCCATTTTAAAATATATAGTACATACACGTAAAGGAATATGTACTTTATATCTGGCATGTACTTTATGTAAGTATATATTTAAATATATAAGATATGGATTATATAGAATGCATGAGTATATATTACATATAAATATATAAGTATATAACTATGTACTTACATATGTACATTTAAAGTATATCTATGAATCAACAGAAAGAATGGACATATTTCATTATATATACATACACAAACATACATATATATACACCTACGCACACGTGTGTGTGTGCTTCTGTTACGGAACCTGGACTGGATCACCCGACGGAAGAACCAAGTGGCACTTGGCGATCTTGGAGGATAGGAGGTTTATTTAATGCCGGTGGTCTCAGAGGAGAATGATCTCCAAAGGTCTGAGCCCCGAGCACAAACAAAGGGGGTAATTTATACACTTCTACTTACGCATACTTGGCCCTGGAAGCGGGGCAGGTAGAAGAACCTGGAAGAGCCCCAGGGCAGGGACTGGGACTCCCTTGCTGGCTCTGTAGGCCATCTTAGGACACCGATTTTTCCTCTTCACTTCCACGCTGTTCTTCAGAACTTTGTTTAGTATTTCCTTCAGCATTTAGAATAAGGTGGCCATGAAAGCTACATCTATAGTAGACTCTCCCATCAAGTTAAACTGGGCCCTTTCCCAAAAATCTCAAAACTCTAGGGGCGCCTGGGTGGCTCAGTCAGCTGGGTGTCTGCCTTCAGCTCAGGTCATGATCCCGGAATCCCGGGATCGGGGCCCGCATCATGCTCCCTGCTCAGCAAGGAGTCTGTTTCTCCCTCTCCCTCTCCCCCGCACGTGCTTGCTCTCTCAAATAAATAAATAAAATCTTTTTCAAAAATCTCAAATGTGATCCATAGAAAACTTAGAGACAAGTAGTGGTTTGCTCAGGACTTTGTTTCCACAGATTTTTTACCACAAGGGCCGTCCTCTGCAATAACTATGAGGTTTACTTGGACCCAATATACAGATTTCATTCTTGTTCCAAAGGGAATTTGGAACCCATGAGATATGTAGCCTTTATGGAAGCAGGATTTACTTTTGCTCATATTAATGGAAAGAAAATAAGAACATACATATTTTTTCTCCCCTCCCTAACCTTGGGTGCAATGTTTTGAAGAGCTGGTGTGATAGCTTTGCTTGCCCCAAAAGGTTGTTGCGAAGAGTACTCTAGACGATGCAGAATTCTAAATTCCTAGGGCCACACAGCCAATAAGCCCCTTCACCCCCATTTTCCTTACTGTACACCATAGTTGGAACAGTGAGTGGAGAAGCCAGCGGGAGAAACCAGCCCTCACCACCCTGTCCATTCCACAGGTTGTGCAGGCGCTATTCCAGCAACCTGGATCATGTGACCCATTTAATCCTTTAGCTGCTGCCTGGACCAACAGAATAGACTTTTCGGGATTGGGGCCAGTAGTTTCAGATGAGTAGTACCATCGGAACCTCCCACATCTTGAATGCTGGTTAGGGTTAAGACCCAGCATTCTGATGGACTCAGTTTATGCTTGTTTCAGTTCTCTATTGCGACTTCACAAACTACCCCAAAACATAGTGGCCTAAGAAAGAACAAACATGTAGTTGTTCACAGACCTGTAAGCTGGGCAGGGTCAGCCCGTCTCTCTCCACCTGCTGCTGACTGGGGTGATCTAGTTAGGTCTGGAGGAGGAGGGCGTCACCCCTCAAGTGTCCGGAGCCTCATCAGAGGTGTTGGAACAGCAGAAATTTCTGGGTCTCTCTCTCCCCACATGGTCTTCTCCATTCATAGGCCAGCCCAAGCTCCCTTATGTGCCCAACAGAGGCAAGCAGAAGCTGCCTGCGCTCTTAAGAAGTGATACAATCATCCTTCCACTGCATTCCAGGGATCAAAGCAAGTCACTAAGCCAGCTCAATTCAAGGGGAGGGGAAATGCACACAGTAGGGATAGAACTGTTTAGAACCCTTTGGTAGAAGGCCGGAGAAAGCAAACAAAAGGGAGAAAATGAATGGTGTCTGTTGCAGATAACATTCTAGAACATAAGCCACAGAAAGGCTTTGTTCAGAATCCTAAGGCTGGGCAAACCTTGGAAAGATTATCGAATGAATGCCCAGGGTTCTTAATCTGGTCAGCCTCAAAGGTTCTGTGAACCCCTTGGAACTGCATGCAAAATGTTGCCAATGTATGCTTTCTTATTCCTGGAGGAAGGTGGGAACCTACAGCATTCTATATGCCGTCAAAGGCGGCTATATTCCAAAAGAGGCAAGTCACCGTGATTCCATAACTGAGAGGCAGCATCCCATGCCTGTGTAGAGAACCAGCTTTGAAAATAACCAGTAGCCCTTGATGTAGGATAGACGTTAGAGTTCGAAGCCAATGGCCAAAAACGAATTCTTGAGATGTCTTTGGTGCAAAAAGGTGGTTTTATTAAAGCAGGGGGACAGGACCCATAGGCAGAAAGCACTGCATTGGGATCATGAGGACTGGTCCATTACGTACATTCAAGTTGGGAGGGGGTTAAGGATAGTGTAAGCCTCCCAGGTATTTTGGAAACAAGGTTTCCAGGATCCTGAGGGGGCTAGCTATTGTTAAGAAAAGGTCATTTATTACTGTTTAGTAAAAACTCAGTCATGAGACCCTTCAGATATATATATCGGTGGGTCATATACTTGGGGGATGATTGCCAACATATATCTTGGGGGGGGCGGTTAAAGATAAAGGAAGTTTCCAAAGGAAGTTTTGTATGCTAAAGTAGACTTACAGGATCCTGGGGGTTGGGCTAAGATTGCCTTTTGTCCTTAGCAAAGTATCAACATCGAGGCAGCTGAGTCTCCAGAGGAAGGTCACTCTGCCTGTTTCAAGGACTTGTCAATGGGCTGTAGGTAGTAAGGAAATGTAACAATTTTTCTTCTGCCTTTGTTTCCCACATCAGCCCACAATTCTAGTGTTTCAAAACAAATCATAAGTGTTCCAGCCAGCACAAACTTGTCATGCCGTGCTTGGTTTTCACTGGAAATCTTTAAGTGTATTTTCTGCAGGAAGATACTTCAAATTTTAAAGTATCAAATTTAAAGATCAAATTTCAAGGTTGAAAATGCTCTGAGAAGCCTCTTTATTGTAGAAACAAGTCAAGGTGAAGAAGACAGTGAGGAGAGGGGGAAGAAAGGAGCTACACAGATGGAAAAGTAGGTGGGCCACATGCTTGATATCATTTTGGAATGTTGGTGAGGTCCAGAGCCAACGGCCAAGAAAGAATTCTTGAGACGTCTTGGGTGCAAAAATGGGATTTTATTAAAGCACGGGGACAGGACCCGTGGGCAGGCATTACAAGCATGAGGGATGACTGATTCTAGACTTGGGATTTGGGGGAGGGAAGGGAAAAGGGAGGTTTTCAAAAGGACTTTCATATGCCAAAGAGAACCTAAAAGATACTGGAGGCCTTACCATTGTCAAGCTAAGGTGCCTTTTTTCTCTAGCAAAACCTTAACCTTAAGACAGTTGAGAGTGTCCTGGAGGAATGTTCTACTCTGCCGGCCTCAAGTATTTGTCAATGGGCTGCAGGTCATGAAGAAATTTAATTTTACTTTCCCTTCTGCCTTTGTTTCCCACATCACTGTGGAGGGGAGGGTGATGTTAGGGCTCCAGGAAATTGCATCTATGGGTCTCTGGAAGTTAGGTTATTGATAAGAATGCTTTTGTAAATCACTAAGACGTTGGTAAACTGAGGGAGACTCCGGTCCAGCAGGACTGTGATTTCTCTAAGTTAACCCTTGGTTTTTTCCTTCCCTTAGCTTTCGGGCAGCCTGGAGGGCCTGAGGAATGTCACCCAGATCCCACCTGGGGGAGGGGGGTGGGTTGCGGGGTGTCAGCTTATGCTTTGCCCTCAGCTTGCCTTCTGCTCCCTCATCATGCTGACTCCGGCTAACCGGACCATTGAAAAGAACCAAATTGCTTCCAATTGACAGAATTTAAGGAACCTCCCCGGAAGTCCCGACTTGCTGTATCTGACTTGCCTTTTTTTTCTCCGCAGCCACGGGACCCGATGTGCAGGTGAGGTTTCTGCCGCAGCCAACAACAATATCTGTGGGGTCGGAGTGGCCTACAACTCCAAGGTCGCAGGTAAGCTTTCCCTGCTAAACAGCAGGTGTCGTGTGCCAGAAAGCCTCACGCTCTGGTCTCCAGCCTGGGGCGGGGCGGGGAGGGGGGCTGGCAAAAATTCCCACTGGAGCAGCAGAGCTGGAACTAGTAGAGTTAGCAAGAGGGGGGCGGAAAAACAATTCTTTTAATCTATCTGGCAGTATCAATACAGTGAGATTTCTTTTTTATTCGAGTGTGTTATAAATACAGAAAAGTACACAGGTCAGGAGCACACAGCTCAGTGAATTTCACAAACTGGCCACATCCACGGAAACCATCAAGAAACAAAATGCCACCAGCATCCCAAAGCCCTCCTCATGTTCCCTTCCCGTTACTACCCATATACACAAGAATAAGCATGAGCCTGATTTCTCACAACAAATAGTGGTTATTCCCAGCTTTTAAACCTTAATATGAATGGAACAGTACTGATTGTACTCTTGTGTCATTATCAATAACATTCTAATGAGACTCTGATAAAGCCTATAAGAATATAAAAAGATATGTACAAATTATTGTAAACAGACTCAAAACTCTTCAAAAAAAAAAGGGGTGTTTGTTTTTTTTATACAGTGCCATCCCCTCTCTAAGGAAATATATTCTACTAAAACCTGTGTATCAAGCTCCACGGGAAGGATATCTAACAATTTCACCTTTACCGGGGGCTTTAGAAATAAGGGCGGCGGATCACTGGAAATTTAGAAACCAGCATCTCCCTCTCCAAAAAAGAGTGGGAGAGAGGATGAGAGGGGTTCATAAACTGTCAACAACATGCTGGAGAATGAAGTAGCTCCTGGCATGGGTCCGCATTTTGCATCAAATTGGTTCTTAATTTATTCAAAGCTGAGTCACTCAAACTTGTTTTTCTTTTTTTTACAACTCTCTTGATATTTTTTTCCTAGCAATTTAATGGAACCATAAACATACTTTGTGCTGACACTTGCATTTCCAGGGACCTAAATAAAGCCAGAGCAACCTATACAAACCCATCACTAACTTCTTTCAACGCTGTTTGCTAAGAGGCTTGCCTAAGCCTGGTGCTGAATTTCACAAAAGAATATGTCTGGAGGGTCTGAAATGCAAATGGGGGAAGCTTTGCCCCTCGGGTTTCTGCTCTCTTTACTCTGTGTGCATTCAAACTGCTGGCATTAAAATGTCAGAAGCCATCAGGAGCTCAGGGGAAAGAATAACACCCAGTTAATAATTTATAAGCCAGGCTCGGACCTTGGGTGTTATCTGTGCAGGGTGGGTTCCCTATCCACAGGATAAAACTGGAGGCAACTGAAAAAAATCAAACCTGGATTTCCAATTCACAGTGATTGTCTTCAAAATAATTTGGATCCCAAAGTATAGTTTCAAAATAGCTTTGGTGCCCGAAGTAACTGGGTTTTTTGGGGGGGTTTTTTTGTTGTTGTTGTTGTTTTGTTTTTTTAACAAGCTTTGGGTTTTTTTTTTGAACAAGAGATTCTTAGAACTACTGCCTGCAAAACTGAGTTAGGAGCAGCTCAAGGCATTAGGAGGGTTTACCAGGGTCGCTTTCTCCATTTGCCTTCTATCCTTTTCTCTCCTATTGTTTGCGCTCTGAAAACGTCTGAGCAGCTCATCAAATGGACCCAATTTCCCTGTTCTTTTCATTTGAATTCCGTAAAAGGGAAACATGAGAAAAGGATTTGAGTGTGTTAACCTAAGAAATAAGAGGGCCAGTTATTTCACCAGCAAAATGGGTTTATTCAGGACAACAGAGAATTGCAATTCAGGACATTGCAAGCTATGGCAAAACCACAGGCAAGTCCCACAAAGCAGAGGAATGTTATTTTATGGAGAGGAAGGAGGAAGTTGGGAGGGTTTGTTTTCAAGTAAAGTCCATGGGAGAAAAGCAGGAGTTCAGGGTGATGGTCATTTCTCCTTGGCTGATTTGCCGGGGTACTGGATTTCTTGTAGGAGATGCACTGTCCGTCTTTTCCAGCTGGGGCCAGAAATTATTGATTCTTTCCTGTTGACAACTCTGCTGGGATCTGTAATTGACATTTCTTCCTGTAATTGATATTGAATGATAGGGCTCCCCCTTCTGGACTCCCAATTCCATTTTAGTGAGCTTTCCCTTTATTAATTTTCACTAGTGCCAGAAGTTTCTTTGGGAGGTGATCCCCGGAAACCAGAGTGAGGGAAAGAGGAGCAAAGACAGCTAAGGGAGGGAAGCCAACAAAGGGTGTGTAGATTAACTGGTTGCTCCTGTGGACAAGCGGGAATCTGAGGGACTCTGGGGAGAGCCCACAGAATTGCTCCCCGCCACAAGGACAAGAAGCTGGGCAGTTTATCTGCCAACTCCCATCCCTCATTGATGGGGGTGGCTCCTGGGCCCTCAGCACCCTGTCCAGTCTGCCAGGTCACATGGGTGGAGCATAAGTCCTGAAGCAGAGAACGCACCCCAGGCAAAGACACCTGGACAGGGCAGTGGATCCACGCAGGTGCAACCCCTTAACTCTGCCTCACCTGCTGACTGACTCCCAACCCCAAAGGTGAGTGAATGCAGCCTGATGCCTCAAAGGTATGACCTGACTTATGCTCTGTGAAACCCCAGCTGGCTCAGGTCTCACGGCAATGCTGAGGTTCCAGAAATAGACCAGAGCTGGTGGGAGGCATGCCCAACCACACACAGAATTTAAGCACAGGAGCCTCCTTTTCCGCTCCCTTAACCCCAGTTTTGCTCCTCTGGAACTACTCGTGCTGGTGCCAACTGTTCAAGGGGCCCAGAAGTCTAGTCTCCATCGTCCTGTGCCTGTTGGAACATCCAGTGTCCTCTGGGCTTCCTCAGAACAGGGCAAGGAATTCTTTATGAGGAAGCCCTGGACTGTTACTCAGGAATTAAAATAAAAGCAGAATTTCAGGCTCCTGGACCTTATACATTTAGGGGAAACATTTTGTTCCTTCTGGCTGGCAATCGCAAAAGTTGTCTGGTTTTTATAACTCTAAAGGAGCCATGCATTTCCAGGGAATCTTTCCTTGCAGGTTTCTGAGCTAGGGGTGTCTGGAGCGCCACCTGGTGGCCATACAAGATTATTGCTAGTCCCTGGCGGTCCCGAGGTGTTCGGTTAAGGTAGGGAGACTCCAGACGCCGGGTGGTCCAAGCCCTTCCTGCATCCTGGGTCTCTCTTCAACGTGTCCTCAAAAAAAGGCTTAAGTTGAGGTGCTGTAAAATCTTAGCCCAGTTAGAGGAAAGTGGAGATAAGGTGATAAAATGAGTCCCCTGAAGAGAAAGAAGGGAAAAAAAATCATACAGCATCTCTTCATCTGCCTGTTAGCCTGTTGGGTTTCTCTTTGATTCACAAACTTTTTGCTCACTTTTCCACTAGGGCTCCTGTCTTTTTCTTGCTGATTTGTATGCCTTCTTGGTATGTCCTCAATCTTAGCTCCTACTCAGTTATAGGCAGTGCAAATATCCTCCCCCAAACTTTCACATGAGGTCATTAGTCCACCTGGATTTCACCTTTGTATGTCGTGATGGCTGGGGACCCAGTTTTATTTTTCTCCAAATGTGAACCAGGGTCCCTGATACCATCTATTAGATAATCCATCCTGTTCCTCTGATTTGTGGTGCCACCTTCATCGTATATTAAGTTCCTATACATACATGGTTAGTCACTAGGTAAATATAATTTATATAAAACCACCTACCTAGCAGGTATAAATTAGGAAGTGTAGCCACACTCCTACTGATGGGCCTTTGTATCTGCTCTTCCCTCTACCCAGAACACCTCCCCCATAGGCTTTACCTGGCCACACCTCTTCATCCTCCAGCCCTCCGTTTTCCCATTGCTCCTCCAACATCACCTCCCAGACCAGCTTTGTCACCTACACGTGATAAATCATGCAGAGATTTTTCCTCCCAGCACTAACTACAGTCAGCTACTGGACATATTCTTGTGCATGGTGATTTGATCAATAGCTTTCTCCCCAGGCAGACAACAGTCTCCATGAGGACAAGGGCCATGTCTCTTTTCTCTCACCGCAGCACCTAGAACAATCTGGGGCACAGCGGATGCCCAAAGCCTATTTGCTGAGTGCCAGAAAGCAAAAAAGGAATAAAGACAAGGAAGGGCCAGTGATAAGCAGTAGAGATTAATCATTAGATGAGAGAATGGTTGGATGAATGGAGTCATGAGATGAAGGGCCTAAGGATCTAAGGACCCAAAGCTGATAGAATTTCTACCAGGAAGCAAACTTATCTCCTCTTCTACCAGCACCATCTCATCTTTGCTGCTTCATCCCAATCAAATTAGTTCCAAGGAGACCTGGACCTTCTCACACCCTCTCCCCACTTCCCTTCCTTCCCAGGGCACCACCAGTAGGAGTTGCTCCCGGGCCCATCAGTGAAAAGAGACAAGGGGCCCCTCTGCACCCACACCTTAGGCGGCTCCAGGCTATCAAGCACCACGACCATTCATCCACCATGTATCATTCAGGTGTTACAAAAAGAGTGTGTAAATTTCCAGGAGCTCATCTTTTCTACTTATTCATCAGAATCTCAAAATCTTGGGCCCCAAAGTTCCTTTAGTCCAAACACCTACTATTACTGGCATAAGGATAGCAACAAAGTAGTATTAATAATGATAATAATAATAAGTAACACATAGTTACTCTTCCAATGTGTCAAACACAATACAAAACTCTTTACCCAACCCTTTATACAATTTTCGTATACATTATTATATATAATACATATAACATATATATTATATATTAGCATCCCTTTTCTACAGAGAATAAAACTGGGGCCCCACAGCTTGTAAGCTGTAGAATAAATCTGCAGCCGGCACAGCCTGGGCTAGAAATTCTGCCCTTGGCCCCTCCACTAAAATGCTTGGACAACTTCCCTTTCCCTGCCCTTCTGGGATAGCCTGGATCCAGCCTGGAGCCACATATCTCCAGTGACAAGAAACTCACTCCCTTTCAACATAGTCTGTTCTACCTTTGGATATGTG